TATCAAAAATGTGTAAAACATTTATGTAAACATACATGTAATCAGTTTTAAATTACATTTTTGGAGTAATAACACTTAAGCATAAATATTTCATAGTGTGGTTTAATGGCAATATCTTTATAAAAACTTGCTCATTATTCAAAATTAAAGCATACTGGAGGGACATACCAGAAATTGCAAAACTATATATTAAAAATGATCTTCCCAGATAAACAGTTTAATTACAGTAAAGGGAATACAAAATATTACATAATTTATGTACTTACCATTGCAAGAATGGCCTTGAAGTTTTTACTTGATTCCTTAGAGACCACACATCGACCTAGATGAGGAGGTTTACCCACAGATGCTGTGATATATTCTTCCCACGTTATATGTGGAGTTAGGGGTGCTGAAAGTGACTGTCTCCTCTGAAACTAAATAGTTTCAAAAGTGAACTGAATTTCTGGCTTCTTCTAATGCCAAGAACAAAAAAACTCTAATTTTAGATCAATGTATTAGAAAATATTTGTTAGAGCAATTTCTTACTTTGTAAGCAGATGTCTCACAAAAAGACTCCGTGAGGTTTTTCTGGTGGAATGAAGTAAACTATCAAAAGTTTAGAGAAAATTTTGTACTTTAAGCCATATACCAAAAAACAATGTTTAATACAAGTTAAAATGAAAAACCCATATTGGACCAATAAAGAAACATGTAATCGCAATTGTCTTACTGAATAATAAGTCAGTTACGTGAAAAACTTATTATTAATGGATTTTTTTTTCTTTTAAACTGAAGTATCTTTATTACACTCTTCATGCAATTAGAAGCCGGAACAGATGCTTGAAATCATCTAAAGTGATAAAGGTAGTAAAATCAGGCTAGAAAGAAAAATTTAATCCTCTTTAAGTCTTAACAAAACCCTGCAGTGAGATGACACCAATAATCCCATAGCTAAACGAATCTACTTTTACTAAAATTATGCTAGTAATTTCATGTTTACTAATGCCACATGATTTGGTGGGTATATTTTCTGAAAATGTCAGAATGTGACTAAGTACTTTGTAGTATGTTTTAAGAATAAAAGGTACAAAAAATGAATGGAAGTACACTTATTCTAAGTCATTGCTGTAAGCCTTAGTGATGTTAAAATAGTAGGTGGAAACTATGTATTGGAGTTAGAGCCCAATGAAAAATTAAAAATTGTCATTCATTTTGATGTAAGTTCAGCACTTATGTAAACCATGTACTGCTGAAATGATTCGAGAAAATTTGGAAGAGACAACTGCACATTTAATTACAATTCTGCAAGAGTACAGATGCCTGAGCCTGCAACATGAAAATGTTGGCAGTTTATCTCACTAAATGGTGAGAGCTGCCTGTTCACTGGATTTGTTTATCCTAGAGAAAGTTAACATATTCTAACACTGAAAATATATTTCCAATAGGTACTTACCTCCCTCACCCAAAGCTATCTCGACCTTGATTTGCCCTCTAAGCATTGCTAAAATTTTGAACAGTGCACCGGTGTTTTATACCCCTTCATTTTTGCAACATTGCAGTAACATGTGCTTGTTATTGCAACATAATCCTCAGTTTCAAGGATTGTCATATACAAACCAGAAACACCAGCAAATAAGTGGGAAGGAAGAGCAAAAACTGGGTGAGAGAGGTAAGTGCCTATTGAAAATACATTTTCAGTATTAGAAATTGTTAACTTCCAAAATGGTACAACCTCCTCTCACCCAAAGCTAGAATCCCACATTGCAAAGGTGGAGGGGCCAGTGAAGCACAAAACAATCAAGCAAGCAGAGAACAACCACCATGAAAGAACAGGTCTGCCACAAATAAAATAGGAGGCACACCTGTGGAGTATAGCACTACTTCTAGAACAGGTATCATACTCTTCACCCAGTAAAGAAGAAAGGAAGACACATAGGGTGAAACCGATTAGAATACATGGCTAGGGCTAAAGGACCATAAATGTTTATGAATAGGCCAAGTGCAATCCGCCCAGGAAGAAATCATCCAGGGAAAGTGCCTTGGGATACGATGGATTATGCCAAGTGTGGTCCAAGAGCAAAAACAACATGGAAGCATCTTGCATATATTTATAAGATCAAAAGGTGTGGTCTGCCCAGGCAAAAAACATCCAGGGGTAGTGCCTTGGATAATGAGTATGTCAAGTGTGGTCCTTCTGGACAGAAAACATCCAGTGGAAGCGCCTTTGCATAAGACTGATCGTGGTATATTGTGATTGTACCAAAATGAGAGATCAGCAAGTGCGGTCCACCCAGGCAAAAAACATCTGCCGAACCCAGCCAGTAAGGGTAATAGGAGATAGACCATGAGAAACAATGGAATTCTACAGAATAAAAAGGCGAGAATGGGCATCACGAATGGAGTCAGTACGAAATGTATAACAATGAAGACATTCTGGATCTGAACAAGAGTATAATGGAAATGGGAGGCAAGGAAATAGGAGAAAAGGTGAAACAACCTTCATGAGTAGCAGATGTTTAATGCTGACCCCTGTAGGAATGGAGAAAACAAGCATAAGGAAGGGAACACCTGTAGAGAGGAAGAAAAAGGGGCACAGGGAACCCTAACAGGTAAAGATTGGGCAGCAACAGTAGGATGAGACAAACGAGAAACCAGGGAGGAAAAGGGGGGAATGTAGCCTCACCACATTGACTCAGTATTAATACTACTATTATTAAAAAACAATAAGTGAGTATAGAAAAGCCAAAGATTGATAATTTTACCACAATTAAAACATGATTGTTATTGAGAGAATAAATGCCAACAATACCAAAAAATTTCTAGTGAAAGAATATAAATATGAAAATTTAAATAAAGAAAAAAAAACACTGTAAAAAATATATATATATGCCTATACTTTAAGCTCACCTCAGAATTTTCTAAACCAGTTGCATTTCCCTTCGTAAAACTTTCTACAATGGCTTTATTTTTAATTACATCTTCTTGGGTAAGGTGTTCCCTCCTGAAAATGTTTAAACATGCTGTATAACAATAATCCATTATGAAAATTTAAATTTCAAGAGAATATTAATGTATTTTTTCTTAAATTAACCAACACAAATATTTTTAGTTTGAGATTTTCAACCTTTTAAAATAATTTTTCTCCCTGATACAGAATAAGACATCTTTCTCCTTTGAAATAGTAACATCGCTTGTGAAAATTCTACATAACTTATTTGTAGCTTTGCATATCCTATTTGAGGCATTAAGAAATGATCAAACACAAACATAGTGAGTTTTTTGAACTAACTTCAATTTTAATCATGTATTCGTAAAATGCCTAATTTCATTCAATACTTTTTTTTTCTGGAATGTCAATAGGTCATGTTTAATCTAGTTTGAAATTTATATACTGTAACAGTGGATGTTTGTTCTACTAATCATGTAGCTATTTAATTATTAGATGAAATAAGAGTTTATAGGTGGTTCAACAACATTTTCTTAAAGAAAACTAATTCATATATGGAAGCCAAACTTACATGATATTATGTAGTAATATTAAAGATCACACTTAGCAAAACATTAAGCTTCAACCTTCCATTTTAATTTTTAAATATAATTTTGTAAACTTTCAAAGAAACAAACCTTTTTCTGGATTCTAAAACTAGTCCACTGATGAAATAAAAATCAGCTAAGAAAGGTCCTACCATTTCCTAAAATGTAAAAACAAATTCTGTAAAGCGTGTACAAAACAGCATAAAATTTAAGTACTTATAAAAGTTTCGGAAAAATCTAATGAAAAAAATTTAATTTGAAACAAAACAAATAGGTTTTAATAAATGAATAAATATCACACTTCATAATGTTGAAATAATACAGCAAAACAATGTTTACAAATATTTGTGTTTGTTTGAATTTCACACAAAGCTACACAAGGGCTATGTGTGCTAGCCATCCTTAATTTAGCAGTGAAAGACTAGATGGAAGGCAGCTAGTCATCACCACCCACAGCCAACTCTTGGGCTACTCTTTTACTAACCAACAGTGGGATTGACTGTCACATTATAATGCCCCCACGGCTGAAAGGGCAAGCATATTTGGTGGGACAGGGATTCGAACCCGTGACCCACAGATTGCGAGTCGAGCTCCCTAACCACCTGGCCATGCCAAGACTTAATTTTCAAGTGACCTGACAAAGTATGCCATCAGTATCACACAAAAGCTGCAGTGGCTACATTTTCACAAAACACCATATTTTTCTGGTAAAAGGTAAATATTATTTAAACTTCAACTATAATATGCCATTAGGAACAAAAATTGATCAATATTAGCACCTTAGAAAGCAATAAGTACAAGTCAGGTACACTTTCCATTACATTACAAAGATATTATCAAATCAATTAAATTAGGGATTCTGTTATGATGAATAGTAAATACATTTACAAACATATATTATGTGTGGATATTTTTTTCACTGAATGGTGAGAAAATATATTTAACAATATATGTCATGATTACAAAGTACTGTTATTATATTTCAGCATTTTGGTAAACAATCTTTGATAAACATTAAATTTTTTTTGTGCTATATTGAAGAGAAATTTAGATAGTAAAAATGGACACATGCCTTTACAAAGCTAATATTTACAGATTAAAGGGTTTTGAGATAAAAGATTCTTGTCTCTCATTTATGAAAAAACAAACAAATTTAGTAGTATTTGACAGCCCTTTTTTAATGATATGAAATACTCATTTTTAGGAAACCAAAAATCAACTTTCACTTCAAGTAATTAATCATATAAATACTTTTCAGCTCACTCAAGACTAAATGAGGATGAAATCACTTGCAAATAGTTTAAAGAGGATATAACTGGGTTTCAATTTGATAGCATAAATGAAATATTCTAACACAAGATCTCTCCCTCAATATAAGACATCTTGGTGGCAGGGATCAGACGTAAAAAAGTCCATGACTTACCTGCTTTTAGTGAAACTAGGGATATAAAATGAGATATGACAATTACAATCTACTGTTTCTAAACTGGACAAAAACTGACAGTTATGACAGGCCCCCACCATCATCAGAAACCCCATAGAATGACAGTCCTTCTTATGTGTAACTGATGACTCTACTATATGAGCCACCTTCTTCTTTGTCCATCATTACATCTATTTTTCAGACCAGAGGAAAAAAAGTCTTCAGCAGATAACTCCAAACACAACTGACCATGACTGGAACTTTGTTACTGTTCAGCATTTCACCGTCAATCACCATTATTCCATCAATTACTTGAAAGTGCAAGGTTCTGAGATGTTCAACGTGTACCCTGTATAGCCTCTTTGGATGCAAACACGATGAACTTTTTGAAAGCCCTTACTGAGGCAGATCCATCTATCAAGTGCAAAGGTGCTTTGGGAATACACAAAAATAGGTTTGATGCTGACAAAAAGAAGATCAGAAAATCAAGAACAAGGTCTCTAACCTCAAACAGTCAGGGAAGAAAGGTCATATAACTTGCTCTGAGAATCAATTTGTGTGTGTATGACCAATGCTGGTAAAGTGGTGTGGTTGCTCCATGATCTTGTGTCTCTTTGACTGCTCATAACTCCTGATTGAAATACTTTACCATCATATAGACTACACATTTGGATACAAAAGATTCCAGGCTTTCCAACAATGTATGCAACACCTCCAAGGAACAATTACCAGAATTCTTTGTTCTTTGCCTTGCTACCCAAAAACACTACTTCACCTCTTGTTAAGGGAGAGATCCTTTGTTAAATTTACACGAAATAAAGAAAACAAATGCAAGGACTGAAAGCATTTTAGAGGCTTCCTAAAAGCTTTAATATCTCTCTTCCATCAGACCATAATACAGTCTAATTTGTTTAAAACCTAAAGATAAAACAAAACTGACTTTCAACAACACAAAATGAAATCCTTTTCTGTGATCTTACTGTTCTATCTCCTCTAAAGATCCAACCAGTTTGTGCCCTGCTGAATGTGATAGATTTTGTAGACATCTGAACACTGACTATATCACTACTCATCAATAAGTCAATTTCATCCTCTACTTCTGCTTCTGTTTCCTGTTTGATAAGAAGATCCAGTTTTAGTAAAAATAAAGTTCTAAAATTTACTTTAATTTTTAGATATTTTTTATAAAACCATACTATTTGGTAAAACTGAAAATAACATATAAAATTTTATTATTAATATAAGAACAATACATAATTATATCTTATCATGTACCTTTCTCAAACAATCAAGAAAAAAATTCAGAGGAAAGTTATTATTTTCATGCACTGGAAATATATTTCTGATATGTACTTACCTCCTCTCATATAATAGCTCTTCTCATTCACTGCTTGCTGCCTTCTATATGCAAAATTCTATATGCCAGGAACCTGACATGCAAATGATGGTAGAAAGAGATGTGCCAATGTAGTGGTTCACTTCAAATTTAAAACCAATTGGACCAGTTCCACTCTATGCAACATCTGCCTCAGGGAGTGAACCTCAATGAGGTGGAGCACCAAAGGGACTACATTCACCCTGCACAACATCATATTCCGGATATGACTGCACAGAAGCTGAAGTGCATGGATGACCAGCCGACTAACCACAGAGCTGGGGCAAATAAAACCAGATCCATGGAGCATCAAACTCGAGGACCCACTGCACAGAGGTGGAGCGCATGAGGGAAAAACCCATGACAGAGGCAGAATGAGGAGTCACGACTAACATAAGTGAGGACTTATGTTGATAGGTCTTGCTTGAATCCAAAACCATTCACTGGGAATCAACATCCAGTCAATGGCAGAATAAAGGATCCCAATCAAAGAGGTGAATTGAAATGTGGTTGATCTACTCTAGTTCATTGAGATTCACATGCAACATCATCCCCTGAGTCCCACTATATGGATGTTGAGTGCATGAGTGGTGAATCTACACAATCTACACCAGCAGAACACCACTACCCTATTCTTTACTGAATGGAATTGATCACGATCAGGAGGTTGCCTCCATGGTCCACCACCCCAGTGGCTAGGAACTGGAAAGTGGCAAGGACTCTCATACTTCACTAAAAGAAAGGATGAGAAACATGGTGGAGAGTCTGGAGGAATGCTGACATCAGAGACAGTGCAATGGGTGACCATGAAAACCCTATTTTGAAAAGCAGACTGCCCCTGATTTATTCAGTCAAAGAGACAGAAGGGATGGGCAGCAATCCCCTTTTGCTTTACTCATGAAAGTCTGTGGGTTAGTATGGTCTGAAACAAGCATATTGTTGAAGTAAAATACTCGCCACTGAGCAGATTCCTTGGCATAAAAGGGACATGCCTCTGTAAGCAAATATATAGGTAAAAGGAAACTTACATAGTCACAAGAAGAGACATAGGCATGCACAGCATAGGTAAGAGGCGAAAAAAGGCTGTCATAATATTCATCATCATGAACAAGTTCTACAGAGACAAGCGGAGACAAGACATTGTTGGAAGAAGAGGGCCAACTCATGTAAAGATCAACCTCCCAAGGAATGATGGCCAAAAAACCTTAGCCAAGACTCCCGCTCCTGAAGCCTGTGTCATGACACTGGATATATGACACAAAATTTCGAGTTCATAATTGACTGTGAACAAGTCAAAAACTGAGACAAAATAGGAAAAAAATGACAAAACAATGGTAAGTTGACTTGGCAATAAACTACAGAGAACAAACTGTAAATAAAAAAAAAACCCAGTAGAAACGTTGAAGCACTACTTTGCAAAAAGAGAGCAATCAACACAAATTCAAAATGTCTGCACTACACAACTGCCTAATGAGAAGTGATGGTTAGGTGGAATCGAATAGGAGTAATGTGCATCAGGAGTATTGTGTCACACACCTATTGGTGGAGGGTTGTCACATGATAATTTACATGTGAAGACACAATGAACCACATCGATCATGGGGTAAGTGGGAGTTCCAAGGCTTGTAGCATGCAGAAAATTTTTGCATATAGAGGGCAGCACTGAAATAAAAAAAGCTATTATGTTTGGTAAGGTACTGTATTGGAATTATGCCCTATTACAATTATTCACAATATCCCAAATGTATTATACTGTTAATGTTTTACCACATTCTCATCAAAAAGAAACTCTTTCTCTGCAGAAAGTATTTCTTTTAAAGATACAATTACTTTAAGTTCAATCATAAATATTTTCTATGTGCCGACTTTCAAGATTCTTTAAAATATCAAACACTAAGATAGGTACATCTGACCTCTTACCTCATAGCGAACGTTTTGATAAACATTTTGTTCATTATCTAAGACTGTGAGTGACTGAGATGGTTTGGAATTTCCACTAAATATAAAGCTCACATCCCCTCTCTCCCACCTCATATCATTGAAATCAACTAATGTTGTGTCTAATCTATGAAAAAAAAACAAAAAACAATAATAATAAAGTATACAATATATAACAGATTAAATTTTATGGCTGTCAGTAAAAGATTTTCATATAAACCAAAACACCAAATCCTACTTTTGTTCTAATAATTTGTTAGAAATTTATTTGAAAGCAATATTTTTATGCATGAATTTTAAAAATTAACATGCATGCAAAAAACTGTCTACAACAAAATTAAATGAAAAGTTGAAAAGTACAACTGTCATTTACCTATGAGACAGCCACCTAGTGGCTCAGTTGTAAGTCTGAATTATTTAAGGCTCATAAAGCTAAGAATTGAGTGTCACTACCCCACTGAGCAGCAACAGAAGCCATTATGTAGTTTTGTGCTTACTAACAAACAGATACCTGTGAGGCAATTCAATATTTAAGGCTTCGCAGTATATAAATTTCTTTCTACAGTAAGTCATTAAAAATTGGCTTCACACAGACAAAAAGAATTATGTTTGTTAACTTTTACACATGAAATGAAAGCACGTATATAAGTTAACAATTGTTAAGTGATTTATTAGACACTGTTCAATATTGCAATATACACAAAAATGTCTTTGTAATAAAGCTTTTTTTTTGTATTTCTACATGTATGAATGACTTCTTCTAACAGGCTAGTAAAAAAAAAATGTTGGAAAGTGCAACCATGAACAAACCTCTTAAACTAGCTTCAACAACTTGTTAAAATTATACTTTAAAAAAATTCTGCATATAATCCAAGAAACAGAATGAAGGTTTTTATTACAGTGCTCAAGGATGTAATTTTTTTTATTATATCAGTAATTAGTTTTAAATATCTTTATTTCCTATAAGAGATATATGTTCATATCTTCATAAGAGAACAGTTCAGGCATTCAAAATGTTGTTTTTAATAAAAAATTGGAATAAGCAAGAATCAAATAAATTGCATAAACTAATTTAATGGCATCCAGTATCCAGTTTTCATACAAAAAACAAGAACGAAGAAATGCTGATTAGTTTCACCTCCTTCATTACAAAGGAAACATAACCGACTGTCATGTTTATTGACATTCCTTTAAATACAGAAAATTTAAAATAAGTGTAGTAGTTCTTTGTGATGTAGATGTAGGGCCTATGAGTTCTGTTTTACTTCAAGATGTCTGATTTTTTGTCTCTTAGTAAATGTGGCCTTAAATATTTTTTCTTCACAGATAAATATAAAGTTTACTAATGAGATAAAAAATACAACTGTTATTAACATTTTACCAAATGTTTTCTATTTAAAAAAAGGACTAACATATGAACACACTTATAATTGCAACCATGCACTCAATATTCATGCCAAATAAATATATATGAAAATGAAAGTAACTATAACAAAAGACAATAAAAAAAAAAGATTGCTAGGTGAATTAGGCTCAATATGTTCATTTTAAGCTTGGTCTAGAGCCCTCTATATTCTGGAAACACCCTTACAACTAAAATGTATGTGTGTATGTATACATCTATCTATCTATATAAGCTACAGTCATCCTTTGTTGGATGTAGCTTTCCGTTAGACCAGTCCAGTATTTCCTATTCTCAGCATACTGTGTCCATCTAATTCCTGCTTCCATCACTATATCGTCCCTCTATCTTCTCTTTTGCCTTCCCTTAGATCTTTTCCCTGTCCTAAGTTGCTATTCCATTGTTCTTAATGTCCACCTATTATCAGAATACCTTGCTACATGCCCAGCCCATTTCCATTTAGTTCTTACACTGAACCTTACTGCATCTATTATATTTGTTGTTTTCTTATTCTGTCATTTCTCCATCTGTCTTGTAGTGTTATATGAAGTATTTTTCTTTCCATAGCTCTTTATGTGGTTTCTATCATTTTCCTTATCTCTTTCGTTAGTGCCCATGTTTGGCAGTCATATGTTAAGGTTGGTAGTACACACTGATCCATGATCTTTTTTCTTTAAAGTAATGGGGATATCTTGATCCTCTAGAATTTATACATTCCAAAACATCACCATGTTGTCTTTATTCTTACCATAACTTCTTCCCTTGCTGTGTTTTCCATTTTGAGGGTTTGTCCTAAATATTTGTACTCTGACACTTTCTCTATTTCTTCATTCTCAATTTTAATGGTATCTGTGTCATGATAGTTGGTCGTATATTTGGTTTTTCCCTTATGTATTTTAATCCTGTTTTATTGCTACTGGCATTCAAACTGTTTAATAGGTCTTCCATCTTTTTGTTGAATTTGTAAAGAGAACTACATCATCTGCAAACCTTAGACCTTGTGAATAGTTTATATAAGTGAGATAATAGGCTTTTGGGGCGGTAATTTTTTATATCTTGCTTGTCTCCCTTCTTGTATAAAATGATGATTTTTGATTCTTTCCATTTCTTTGGTATCTTTTTCAACTCCGATATTTTGTTAAACAATTTTGTTATCTGCTTTAATGTTTCACCTGCTTTCAAAAATATCACTGGTGATCATATCGTTTCCTACTCTTCATCTCAGTTAATGCATTCTCCGCTTCTGAGACTAAAGTTTTAGTTAATTCTGTTTTATCTGCTTTGTTGTTCTCAAAATTCATTTCTGTTCTTGCTTTATCAACTTTGTTCTCAAAATTCATTTCTGTTCCTGTTTCATCTTTAATAGTTGATGTATTTAAATCTCTGTACAAATCTGCACATATCTCAACTATTTCTGTTTTATCATTTGTGGTAATTCCTTCTTTGTTTTTTATTAAGCATATTTTCCTGTTTACAACCCCTCTATTGACACTCTTAGGTCCTCTACCAGCTTTTAAGATCTTTTCAATCTTTTATTTCCTTCTTCTTCTTGCTCTGTTTCTTCTTTTCTTCCACACTATCTTTGTTAACTTCGCATACATCTATATAAATCTGTTACTTATATGTTTCCACATATAATTTCATATGTAATTTTGAAAAACCACCAAATCAGCACAATTTTACACAGTGATAGAGGATGATATGAGGAAGGTCATCATAGGGGGTTGGACCCCTATCTAATTTCATATTGATAGTGTTCTTGAAAACAGAATGTCTTTTTTTTCAGTATTGGTACCTTTATGTATTTCTATTGCACATACTTTTAATGTTTATTATGTAAGAAAAAAAAAATAGAAGCACAATTTCATATCCTTTGTTACATACAACTTTTATTTCACCCATCCAATGGACGGGTACTCCAACTATCTATATAAATAATTTACTATACCATATGTACATCATTTGCAAACTTCTGACAAAAAATACATTAAGGCATTTGAAATGATTATATTTAGAGTAAGACAGATGACTTTCCTGTCCTTTCAAGACAGGAACTGTCAGTTGTATGGCAGATGAAAATATTATACTGTAGACTATACTTCAGTAAGTTATATTTCTAGGAACATAAGGATATAATGACTTCTATACTAGTTTTTTCTTTCTGTTACTTATGATGAAAAAAAAAAACAGATTTATAAGTGATGCAATATTTGATATAATTTTTATATTTACCTAATACTGGACCCTTTCTTGTGGATTCTACAAATATCTGATGGAAGTAGTCGTGAAACCAGAGGAACTAGAAGCAGAAAATAAAAATACTTAAATCATGTCATTCACAAAACAAAATCAAGAATCTACTGAACATGGGTACATTTCGGCATGGCTGTCAATCAGATGAATTCTTTAATCAAAGTATAAAAATTTCTGTCCAAGTACCTTTGAACAAATATTGAACAAAAAGGAATATTTTTCAGTTAACAATGAAAACCAAAGCACATATCACAAACCCATGTGTACTTTTGAAATTATACTATTTATATTACTATTATACAAGTCATATTTGGGCTTCCTAGGGTAAGTAAAAGCACATTTCATCAAACTGTTCTACAAAAATCATTATCTAAAGACATTACAATGTGTTAACATAAAACACAGACTATCTGTCAGCTATGATTAAGAGTATACTGCAATGCAACAATGTTAATGAAGCTGAAATTATTAAATCTACGAAGCAGCAATTTTAACTTTCAGAAGACATTTTCTTCACAAAATCAAAATAATGGAAAAGTACATGTATTAAAAATGAATGTTCCTAAACATGACATTGGAAATATAATTGACTATATATGTGTGTGAAATTTTAATTTGTACATCTACACTTACAAACAAAAGCATTGTTAAGTTTACAGCAGAACACTTATTATATACCAAGATTTTTAAAAATTAAGTTACTGATATTACATATGTGCAGAACACCTATCATATACCAAGATTAAAAAATATATTTAAATTACTTCTATGATAACTGAATAACAAACAGGAAGTCAGCTAAAAGTACAACATGCTTATGAGGTACTGGTAATAGTTTTTTGTGTGTAGTAATGCTTAATTATTTTTTTTATTTTAATGTCTGGACAATGGCAAGAAAAAAACATCTTTTTTGTTTCAAATTTAATATCAACAATTTTGGAATTGATACTAAGGTTGCAATGAGACTGTGAATGCTGTGACAGTATCTTTTATTCTCAACATTTCAACAACAAGTCTTCTTCAGGGCACTTCTTGTGCCTGATATTATAGGTTGCATGGGGATCCCTGGTTTGTGTACCTTTGGCATTCCCCCTCATGGTTGGAGTGCGAGGGTTCTCTTCTAAGAGATGCATTAATCTCTTCTCACTCTCTGTTTTTCCTAGGATCTTCTTTATTTTCTGCTTATATCTTCCAGCTTCCTTCTTCTCGAAATCTTTCTATTTCTTTGGGTATGTAGAGTTGTAAGCCAACAGTGCCACCATTTTCTCTACATATTCAGTCCTGTCCATGACGACTACTCCACCATCTTTATCTGCTTGAGATATAAAGATGTTGCTGTTGTTACTCAGCCTTTTTAGGATTCTTTGGAACAGTAGAGTGATGGGAATCTGCCATCACCTTGTAGCAGGTGACTACTGCTTGTTTGAACCTTTTATCAGCATCATTGTTCAATCGTTTGTGATTGTAGATCATGTAGCCTTAGAAACTTCTTCCTTCTATTCCTGTGTCAAACTTTAAACCAAGCGATAAAGTTTCCAACCTTCTATTAGACATGTTGTTGATCAGGTCAGTTCTTCCTATGGTCTTCCATCCACTGTTGTTATGTCTTTGCTTTAGTTTCCGGTGTCATTTCTCCTTCTGCATTTTATCTTCTTGTTACCATGTGGTGAGGGAGAGGAACCCCCACTATCTTGTCTCTTAGCTTAACAGTCTTGTTGGTTAATATCATGACTCCCTCTTCTAAGTAATATCTTGCACTCTTGCCAAAGAGGTGTTCATCTATGGTGTTAAGCTGACCTGAGGTTGATCTCGGGAGAACTTGCTCTGCTATGCACTCGTTCAGGAATTTCTTTCAGTTTGCACAGCTGTTGATCTTCTTCCTTGTGTAAAAATCTCGATCCTGTAGACTCATGTCACCATTACCATCATCAGACAAATAAGTATTATTCATGTTGACTGAATGGAATACTTAGAAGAAGACATACAGTTCACAGTAGAAGGAGAGCAAGATAGGGAGATACCATTCCTTAACACTGATTCGGAGAGGTGATGAGGGACCTAGGTTCTCCATGTATAGAAAACACACCAACAGAGATGATTTTATACACTTCTTCTCAGCACATAACAACAAAGTAAAGACGTGTGGCATTGGGCTTCTTCCTGAGAGCATTACAGATATGCAGCCCAGAATTCTTAGATCAAGAAAATGAACACATATAGGAAGCTTTCAGAAAGCTGCAATACCCTACAGGGATGCTCATAAAGCTAAAACAGAAAGTAAGGAACATCATGGAAAGGAACAACGACAGCAGACATGATGAGAGAAACAAGAAGTTCATAGTAGTCCCCAGTGCCCAGGATGCAAGTCCCATCATCAGTCTACTGAAACACATAGCCACAGAGGGCGTAACATAAACATAAATAAAAATAGGCAAAATAATAAAGGACAGAAGAAAGAAACACAAAATAGATAGCATCATAGTATACTGCATTCCATGTGGAGGATGCAGTAAAGTCTACATAGGTAAAACTAGTAGAGGCCTGACAAAAAGACACAAAGCAGATGTCAGAAGACACAACAAACCAAAGTGATAGCAGCACATGCAGAAGAAGCAGGGCACCTGCCTAAATGAAAGGAATGGAAAAACAACAGAGGAAAACAACGGATACTGCGTACATTTCACTAGAAAAGAACTTAAACACCACAGTGGGAGTATACAAGTGGCTGCAAGCATGATGAAACGAGAGCAGAATGCAGATTGGTCAGTTAGTGGTCAACAGACGGCGATAGTGGACCAATCAAGGTGTGGCAAGGTGAAGGGAACTGGAACTTAATCTAAAAATTTTTTTATAAATACCCTTGTAAAGAACCATGGTGTTCATAATCTCCTGAAGAAGACTTGTAGTCGAAATATTAAGAATAAAAGAACCTGTCATAGCATTCATAGTCTCAATGCTACCTTAGTATACATTTGTCAACATGAATAATAATTAATTTGGGAATTAATTCTACTGTAGATTTCAATTTGTTATTCTTACCAGAATGTGATTAAGGTTCTTTTGGTAAAAGGATTTTGTACAGTGTGATTTGCACATTAGAAATCTCTGTAAGCACATTTCGTATAAATGTACAGAAAGGACAGATAGTAGAATACCTAAAAATTAAACTTACTTCTTAATCTAAGATAAAAAGAAAAGCTGAAGAAACTTAGATAAAAATATCATAAAGATTGTTTACCTTATTTAATACCTTTGCTCTACGAGGGTATTTCAATTGGGTCTGTGTGTGTGTCTCTTTACTCGTCAGTAACTTGAAAACTAACAGGCCAACGTACACGAAAATTTTACACAAGATGGGAAATCGATATGGGACAGTCCTCTCCAAATTTGGTCTGGATTGAAATTTGGATTCTAGATCACTTTGAAGCATTTTTTATAATGGGTAGATAGGACATTTTCATGGTTTTTGGTTAATAACTGTAAATTGTGATCAGATTTGTACCATATTTCAAGGACACATTAAGGTTGAGGCTCCTCATCATATTACAAAAAATGATCCAGATCATTTATCATTCTGAGAACTTGCTGAGTTTTCAAAGAAGAAATTTTACTTTATTCAATATAAATGTATGCAATCTTGAAAAACAGAGGCGGGAGAAGGGTATGCAATCTCTCAGATTGCTCTTGTTCTTATTAAAATTCATATTATACAGATTTTAACCATGGTTCATCACTTAAAAATCTGCAGCAATTTACTATGAGAAACTGAAAGCAGTTCACGTTGTATCTTTCTAGAAACTTTAAAAGTTTCATGAATATGTACTAAAAGCTTTAGTATTGTAAATTAAATATAAATACAACACAAAAGTAATTTCTTTACCCCAACTCTGAAAGTCCCATTTCAACTCCATGAAAAAGTCACCCATTTGATTCAATGCTCGTACCAAATCAGGTCTTCTTGTTTCCATGGCTTCCCTGGATTGTTGTTTAAGCTTACGTAAAAGAGATGCAACTGTTCCAAATAAAATATACTACATTACTATATTTGCTTTTCATTTTTACTAACTGTCCATGTACTAACTTCACATTTATGAATGAAAATATCGTACATGTAATTTTTCTCAGGAAGAAAGTGTGCAGTCTCTTTTGGAAAAATGAAAAATAAAGAGTAATATTTCATATAAATTATACATGATTAATATATTTTTGAAACCCCAAATCTTTATGAATGGACCTTATTTTGGCCCAATATTACCCTTGAAGAAAACTCTAATGATATTTAGTCAATGATCAATTTTATACAAAACATTTTTGCATTCAACTTAAAACAAACAGGAGTATGAATGGCATAAATTTCCACATGATTTTTGCTTTCATGCTAGAAAATAGACATTTATTATGTTACAAAAGATGCAAGTGGGACACCTAAAGAGCTTTTACATTTTAAAGCAGATATACAACATATTTAAACAAGTTTTAGCAAACAAATAAAACAACTAAGCTTGAAAAAATTCATGATTCAAATCTACCAGTTTAGTAAATAAATAAAATAGCTAAGCCTAAAATAATTCATATAATTCAAATCTACTGTCTTAGTAAATAAATAAAATGCCTAAGCCTAGCTAAGACTCAGATAGATTACATACTCACTTTGACTCAAACTACTGTTGTTAAGTTACTTTAAATGATTATTATTGAAGGGATTTACACATTTTGATAATACAGCTAGAATAAAAATGGCCTTTACACTCAAGATAATTATAAAAGAACTTTTATTATAACCAATGTTTTACTTTTCTGCAAAGGCAAATCTTCAGTTAAAATAAAAGCTCTCAAGTGTAAAAATTACAACTTATAGTGTTTGAAAAAACAAAATTTGAGGAATAAATTGAAAATTAACCTATTACAGAAGAAATGCACTTCACATCTACATGTAACCTATAAATATAAAAACGAAATGTTTGTTTTTTGCACCCTAACTCCTCCAATTAGGCTAATCTCAACCAAAATTTGTATGTAAACACTATGAACTATGGGAAATGTTCTAAGGGGGTCAAAACTGAACTTAAGCTTATTTCTATTTCCTGAAGCCTGTTGGTTAATTAATCTCAGTCTATTGAGTCAATCTCAAACAATCTTGGCAGATTGATGCTTTAGACAATGTTGAATATTCTAAAGGGAATTAAGGTCAAAGTATGAAAGTTGCTGGATTGTTTCTCAAACAACCATGGGATCACATCAAAATTTGTTGATAGATGGAAAGCAAACTGCAAATGTTGTTTATGAAGAAGCTTTGTTATAATTTTAAAATGTTGAGATAAAGTTTATGTTCAAGTTATTACTTTGAAATATATGATTGCTGTTAAACTTACCTATTAATCAACAGATCTTACTTTACTAGTTTTAGCATTATAAATCTGTGGTATTCAGGTACATTAAGGACTGACAATAAAGCTAAAGGTTTCCATAAGCAAACAGGTTCAGGATTATTAAGCAAACAATAAATTAACATGAAGAGCAATGAAAAACAAGTAAACACAAGTGCATTTAGAAACATAAAAAGCTTTATTCACAATCTTGCCAAATTGGCTGGTTTCCAATTTGTATGAATATTGTCAGATTGTTAGAGTCAAGTAAGAAAAACAGAGAAAAGCAAGTAAAAAAAATAAAAACCTGAGCCAAAATCAAGAGACATATTTATGGAAATATCATAGTTCTATACTCAGTGGAGGAGAACTGGTTGGAGAACCCTTCTGTTTAAGATCACGCCATTTTCTTTTATAGACGGAGATCTATTGACCTCCATAGATCCTGCCCCTGGGTCGAGTGGAAAGATTTCTGTCAGTAGGCGTAGATTCTAGGGACTGAGGATGTGAATGAATAATCATTATCCATTTTCTTTTATAGATAGAGATCTATTGACCTCCATGGATTCTGTCCCTGGGTCAAGTGGGAAGATTTCTGTAAGTAGGCATAGATTCAAGGGACTGAAGACATGAATGAATAATCATTATGCATCTTGGGGCTGAAGAACAGAGACCCAAGCAGACACAGGAAGCCAGGGCCAAAGGAGGTGGGACAGAGCAGTCACTTGAAGGAATGGTAAGGACAGAGATAGGAATAAATGTGGACTTGTCAACTCGTTTATCCAGAGAGAGCAAAAGACTCTTCACATGATGTGAAAAAAACTCTGATGGAAGCAAAGATTGCTCTGTCTGCACACCCTTTTTAGCAGTAGAATGGAGTGCAGCAACATATGTCTGTGATGGAGTTGGGGACAACAACTTTCGAGCCCCTGGATAAGCAATGTCATTAACTGCTTTTAAACGCTGTACGTCTTTCTCTTCCACCTACTTAAGGCAAGATCCGTAGTAAGAGGGGTTGGAACCAGTGCAATTAATGCAGTGAGGGTCCACTTGAGGGTGAGAATGAGAACATTAGTTGGCAGCATAATTCCCTCCTTGCGATTGGTGGTGCGTCTCACAGCAAATACTCCTAGGTTGGAGAAACCAGCGAGGATCTCTGACTTGGGATGTTCTATAAATTCGTCTAAATGATGACTCCTTGTGAGGAATTCAAAGTAGCATAGGGAGTAACCTCATTGGGTATATTCACAATGGTCTTTGAATTCAAAAGGAGTTCGTTGTGTTTTGGGGTAGATGTTTCAACCAAAATGTCCCCAGAAAGTAGCTTCTTGACTGACTGTGGAGAGCCAACAAGTCCTTCTAATCCCTTCTGAATCAAAAAGGGAAACATTTGCCGGAAAAGTTTGCCCGACAAGAAATGCATGATTAAAAGATGAGGTACAGGTTTAGAATTGGTTGAAGATTGCTGTTTCAGAGTCTTCAAAACGTAGTCGTTTACCAATTAGCTATTTTTTTACTATATGTTTTTCAGGATTTGGGGTATCCATAATGCATGGAGAATGATTCAGTGCCCACTGACCCCACCCATCATGGAGTTCCACGAGGAAATGCACTACAATATCAAACAAGGACACTGCAGCAACACCAGGTTTTCATTAGCACTATATCCAAACACCAGCATCAGACACAACACCCTTTGAGAATGCCTAACACTAGTACTTAGTTGACCCTAGCCCAACAGGACCAGCAACTGATGCTGGGGAGATCACCCCAAGGCCACCCGTCTACAGAAATTCAAGACCAAAGTGGCATGTTGCAGTGCCCCAGACACTATTCAACCACCCGGATCCTCTCCTCCCCTTCACGGGTTGCCACCCATGGGTGGATGTTCAGAGGAGGTAAGCTGAAAATATGGAACCTCCCCTGGGAGGTCCCATCACCATGTACAGGAATCCACCTCGAGGGAGAATAAAACATTGGGCAGCTGTTTGTGCTGGTAATTACTAATTGTAGTATTCATGCCTCATTAAGAAACATTTAAAAAAAGTAAACATTTTCTAAAAAAAAAAGATTTTTCTGGGAAATACTGTATGGGAAAAGTGTTTGAATTGTACTGGTATAAATTGTAATGTTTTTATACACTAAAAGTGGTACCCTTTATTGAAAAAATAATAGTTTCTTTTTAAGAACTCCCATTTCTCAGTACTACATTTACAAACTACATCAATAAAGATATAATTAATCCTTCATGCACAGTCATAGTGAAAGTTATAAGTCATGCACAGTCATAAGTCATATTCTTATTGTGAGGAGACTACTTTTATTTAAAATTGTGTTATATTATAGAGAAATGATTATTTCACATACCACAGTTATTTTTCTAATTGCATGAATCTTGAATATCCCAAGTGTTAAATATTTTATGGATTTTTGTTTGTGGTGCTATTCAATAGATGGCGCCACATTGTATTTATTATTTCAGTCGCATACATAAATAAATACATATATAAAAGCTATGTCAATTATAGTAAGATTATTAACAACTGTTAAACTTTCAGTAGATTAGAAAGTATAATTATGTCTATGTAGCATGAACATGTTGGCTTTTAACGTTCTAAACAAAATGATTTTTTTCTATATTTTAGAAATGTTAACTTAAACTTATTGTTGTTGAAATATTTACTAATTTGACTCTTCTGTAACTAGTTTGATATATATACTTTTAATCAGGAATATTCAGATAATTTTTTTCTATATTTTCGTGCAGGGATTCTACATTTAGTTAACTTGATGATGAAAGATTGAAAATGTGTGCTAATTTTTTTAATTAAGTAATTGATAGATACAAAATTGGCTGGAAGCTGGTATCATTTTAGCTCTGTGTCTGTGTCCACTCTGTAAGTGCTTCGGTGTCTCAATCTCTGTGGGTGTTACATAGACTTGAGTTGCATATGTTCATTGGCTCTAACTAGTAGACTCTCCACATCAAACAACTTTCACCAACACTTTATTTAAGTTGATATTTTCTTATAGTGAAAATGGTTTTGTGATAGGTACTTACCTCTTCTCACATGTATAGCTGTTCTTGTTCAGTGCTGCCCTCTATATGCAAAACATTTTTTCGCATGCCACAAGCCTTGAACTCCTACGTACGCCACGATCAATGCGGTTCAACTGCATTTTACATGTAAATCATCATGCAACAACTCTACACCAATAGGAGTGCAACATCCTGATCTATTCAATTCTACCAAACTATCACTTCAAGATTAAGCAGAAAAGAACAGTGGTTTTCAGTGGAGAGGGAGGGTGAAAAGTATGAGAAGATGTAAGTACCTATCGGAAATCTATTTTCAGTACAGGAAAATAATAACTTCTGATACGGTACATTACCTCCACTCACACGTATAGCTACAATCTCACATTGAATAGGTGGAGGGACCAGTGAGAGGGACAGAAATAAATATCCTTCAAAAGCATCCAAAAAACTCCCCTGAAGTGTGATCCTCATTTGGGGAGGAACATGCATGGGAGACTGCACTACTTCTGTGCCAGGTATACTATGTGCCCAGTGTGGAAATAGATGTCGGATACATGGGCAGAAAGAGGGAGAAGCACAACCATAAAAAGGAGAAAAAAAAACAGG